AAAAAAAGTACTGTATTTTAATTTATACATTATAATAAAATGACATTAATCTTGTGTTACAATTTACAAAATATTTCATAGCATTAATTGTTAATCAAATTTTCTATAATTGGAAGGATTTGTATTAAAATGGGAATACATAGCGTTAATTCATTATTTACACTTATCAAACACGCTAAGACTGCATTTAGTATTAGTCAAAATTCATAATAATAAACAGATACTTAGGTTAACCTAGCAATAGGTTCTACGGGTGTAATATTTGCTCCCTGAAGGTAGTAGGTTTGCTTATTCTCTGTATAATATGAATTTCGACTATACTAAAATTGCAATTTTACGTAAACTTAGTATGTTTGTTTATCATCTCCTGTTTTATTAATAGCACTGTAAAGATTTAATAATTTTTAAATAAATTTACATTTAATTAGCGAAATTATTTTGTTGAGGTATGTCGACCTAAAAATGAATGTGACACGATTCTAAATTTGTTACCAAAGTTTCACATCACAGGACCTACGTAAAATTGAAAATTAACGGACTTCTATTGCTCCCCGCACACTACACATATTATCCAAAAAGGGTTAGAAGTTTTTCCGTTACTAATTTAGAATAGATCCGCTGCCAAATCAACCATATTCATCGCCAAATTTATTCCATTGGTATAGACACGATCAATTCAAAACTTTTCGGTCAAATCAATCAATGAATTTTATTCTTTTCTTGATTATTTATATATAGAATCGATATTATAGATCGCAATATCAGAGACCAAACACGGTTCCGAAGCTCTGTATAATAGGCGAACATCTAAGCAATTTCTATGTTGTGTGTTGTAAATATATATACATTTTGAACTCAAAAGAATCTTATGTAGCATTAGCTTCTTCTTCTTCTTTTTAATTAAAGGCGTTGCCCTTGTGGATTTCGCCAGAATCCAGTGTTTTGCTCAGTTTGTTTCATAATTTACTATTTTATAAACTCTGCTTTTCGTATGTTGGTAGTGAAAGCCCAAGTTAAATTTAAAACTTGGTCTTAATGACAATGATTAAAATTAAAACTAGCCAATAGGAAAAATAAGAAAAGATCCAATCGTCACGGATTCGAATGACGCACACATTTGCGTCACGACAGGAACCGTCTATCAGACATTCACATTAGTCATGAATTTGACGCTCTGAAACTACGCGCTCCTCTAACATTTGTCACTTTGATTCGGTTCAGGGACGACTCTTTTCCATTTCTCAATTGTTTTTAAATATTTTTAGTAAGGATAAGTTACTCATTTTTAAAGTGAACATTGATTTGCTATTTGCATTTGACATTTAAGCGTTAATTAATTGACCGTGTTACTTTTTGCGACCTACGCCTTCTTTATTTATCATTCTATAGAATCTATTGTCCGAACCGCACTTCAAAGAACCTTAAGATCTTATTCGTTAATCACAAAGCATTTTTAACCGATTCATTATCTCAAATCAAAGTCAGTGGTCAGAAGTTCAGAAGTCAAAGAACGGTTACAAAGATTTTGTTGGTCTTACCTAAAAGGTCTTAACTTTTAAAACAAAAACCATAAAAAAGATGACTTCGCAATTTATATAAACACTAGATGTAATCCGCGGTTTTGCCCACGTGGTCCAAAGGTAGTGTGTGTACACTGACCTGCTATACTGGAGTCTTAAGCTAATCTTTAATTTAAAATCTGCCAGTGAGTATTCTTTTTATCATCATCATAATGTAACGTCTCCACTGCTGGGGTGTGCATTCCAATAGATTTAACCAATTATGGAAAATCTACCAAAGTTTCTGTGTATAACGCGTATCATGTCTTCATAGTGCAGTTGCTTTTCTTTTACAAAAAACACAAACAAATGTTTTATTTGAAAAAAAATGTCCTTTTATTGAATTTTTACTTTATTGAATAATTACTCCGTCATTTTGCTTGGATTATTCTAGACTTTCAGATATAAAGATTTCAAACAGCCTGATGCTTTTCTTGTGCAAGATTCTACAGTTGATTCTCATAGCTACTTGACGGTCAGCTTGTTCTTGCTTTTTGAATTTATCACTTTCAGAGATTTTAATGCGTGGCGCCAAATTAAAATTTTGCCAACGGATATTCTGCCATCTCTTGTATCATGTAGGTATCGAACGAATCTAGTTTAGTCCACTCAGCATTTTTTCGACCAATTTTATATTTAATTCTGATACTTTGAATTTAATATATTATTAAAAGAAGGGCAAGCGTAAGTCGGACTTGTGCACGAACGGTCCCGTTTATAAAAAATAACTCAAAAAATGGAATTTTTAATTTTCAAAGTTGTACGGGAAGGTAACCAAAAAAATATTTTTTTCAAGATTTTATTTTACCTTTTTCTCGGCGTGATTAACGTGTATATTCATTTTCTAAATACCAATCGTTTTTGAGCTAAACCGCGGACAGAGAGAACCTATAAGGTTCCTAGTTGACTATGGAACCCAAAATTGAAAATGAAAGTGACTTTGTTTGACAATAATCAGAAAAGCAATAAAGACATCAAATCATCATCATCACATCATCACCAGCCCTTTTACGTCCCCACTGCAGGGGCTCAGGCCTTCCTTATGGATGGTTAAGGAGGATGGGCCATGACCCTCCACGCCGGCCCAATGCGGATTGGAGGATATTAACGACTGCAAATGCAGCCGGGACTAACGGCTTAACGTGCCTTCCGAAGCACGGAGTAGCTCGAGACAATAATTTTTGGTCACCCACCCCGTGACTGACCCTTGCGAAAGTTGCTTTAACTACTACGATCGCGGGCCGCGGCGCTTATCCACAACGCCACCGAGCTACTATATCAAATATTAAAAAATAAATAAATCACGTTTTTAATCTACATTAACGTCATCTAGATATCAGTAGCGTCAGCTTAATGAAAAATTTAATTTTACACCCTTAACTCCCCGTTAAATTATGTTATTGGAAAAACTGCAAAATTGAAAAAGCAATTCACTGTATTTGATAAAAATTAAGACTACAGACGTAATAAAAATCAAATCCCTTTATAAAACAACAGCAATGTCATCTAGTGATCAGTAGTGGCAGCTAAATGTAAAATTGTCGTGTACTTAACGAATATAACATTATGCGTTTAATATTCCCGAAAACGATTGTAACTATTTGAAATATTCAAAACATTATTTAATCTTGTTTAAACAGTTCAAATCATTTAAGAATATAATTACAAGGACAAATTTAATTGTAAACAATAGTTGCTATGGTCAGGATTTAATGCCCTGTAAGAATTTATACACGTAGACAGACTCAAGGATAATCGCTGGACCAAATCGACAACGTCATGGCTAGGACCATTGGGCCAAAGGAAAAGAGGTAGGCCAAATACGCGCTGGATTGACGATGTTATAAAATAGCAGGCACACACTGGATGCGAGAAGCTGAAGACAGAGACAAATGGGCATTTTTGGAGGTGGCCTTTACCCTCCGCTGAGAGGGGTTCTTGTACCATAAATATAAAAGCACCTAAAAGAATAAAGCTCCTAATATTTTATTGCATGCACACTGTTTTTCGATATTTATTTTTTAATTGTTAACCTATATTCTTTTTTATACAAGAAATCAAAGGCTTTTTATTTTATTATTATTATTATTAAGAATTTATACTCCCATTTTCATCGCTCTATGTACTTTTTTCAGGATAATATATAAGATAGATATATGCTGTTACGGACTTTCCTTCAGAAATTTTAAAGGGGATTAATTTCGTAAAACATGATTTTTGCGTAACTTTCACCGTTTACGCAGCTCACACAAAGAAAAGCTCTCAAAAAGTAAAATATTCTCCCGTTTTTGCAACATTTTTGCATTGCTGTTCCATTCCTATTAGTCATAGCGTGATCTTAAATAGCTTATAGCTTTCCTCGATAAATGAACTATTTAATTTTAAAAAAATCAGTTCGAGCCAGTAGTTCCAAAGTTATAGAAACAAACAAATAAACTCTTCAGCTTTATTATTAGTATAGATATATCTTCTTTTTATGAAAGATAAAATAAGGTCAAAACATTCAATGTTACCAATGCATTCCAGAATATTCCGTCTCCGATCCCTCATGCAATTCACTTAGCTACCAAAAGCAATACCGTAAAGAAATACCTTCTTATATACGCCCAGCGGCATTCAATAATAAGACTATGCTCATTAGCAAATGCATTTTGTTCTGTTTTATATCAAGAAGAAAGCTTTGCACTCTTTTCTTTAAAAAGAGAGATTTAAAAATATTTTGAATCTAGTTTAATTTGGCGTAATATCAGTAAACATAATTGAACCTAATTCAATCAATATTAACTAAAATTAGATATAAATAGCAAAACATATCCGAAATAGCTAATCTCAAAACATTAAGCAACACAAGTAGTATGGTATTCTTTGAATTTTGAAACATTGAATACTTATTTGATTCCGAATAAGTTGTTACAAAACAAAATATCATGTTCAATTAGAACTATATGTTCACTTATCAGTGTAGGCACATTTTCGAAAGCAGAACTAATTTAATACAGACATAAAAAATATATATATATATCACTAATATCAGTGACATGCATCCTACAAAATTTATAATTGAAAACAAAACCTACCATCAACTATATTTTGTTCTCTTATATATTAGCGTTTTCGTTGTTACTTACTAAAACTTGTCCATAAAAACAGCTTAAGTATTAACCTTGGTTTTGGACACAAAAATCTATATGATTCAACAATAAGAAAATAATCACTAGCAAAGCTACCACATAGGTTTTTCTAGTTTTAATAAGCAGATATATACGGCAGTGGTAATCTTTGGAAAATTTTTTGAATGAACCCGCCCAAAGTGAAAATTACTATTTTTTTTTTAAACAATACACTCATATATATTCAGGAGCTTATTCTAAGTCTTCCTTATAATGCATTTATAGATTCTACTTTTTTTCGGTTACTTATGTCACCAATTTTGAAAGTGAATTAAAGCCAACCAGTCTTGGGTTGTCGTTTGATAGTTTTGATGTCATCAAGTTTCTTAATTGGGCGGAGAGGTTCAGGTGAAGCTGGTGGGATCAGCTGTTCCGTGCTGGACGTCGATGACAAACGTTTGGGTGGCGACGGAGGCGCTGCAGGTAACTGTGGCTTTTGGAAGAAATAAAATATATATTTTGTTAATATGGCAGAAAAATCGTGACAGTAATTTTCTTGTGACTTCAAAAATCAAAAAACTTGATTTATATATTTTATCAATGTTACATTCATAGTGCCATACTGAAACATATTCCTTATGTAAAAAGTTTAAAACATCCACTTTGTCCCTGGCACTCCGAGATGAATAATTTAAACAAAGTTTCATCTTTATCGAAAGTTTAAATATCTGTTAGGTCCTGGGTAGCTTAATGGTTAAATGCAGTCACCCGGATTGCTAAAGTTCATGGGTTCAAGTCCCATTTCAGAGTGCCAGAGACAAAGTGAATTTATTAAGCAATTTTATTAAGAATAATAAGTATAGATTCATTTAACAAACATAAATGTAATGATAATATGATGATGTGTAAATATTATTCTAAATATGCACTTAGAATTGTTTAATGCATCGAAATACAGGACTTAATGCAGATTTATTTAATCTCATTGTTAGGAAAGGTTATTATAGTGTTAATTAATATAACCCAAATATAAATAGGATCTGGAAGAGAAATACATTTGTAATATTGTACTTACGGGCAAGGCTGATATAGAAGGTTGTGGAGAAGTGACTCTGGGCGTCGGTGACGCTGCTTTCGGTGGAGTCGGAGGTTTGGTCACAGTTGGGGAAGCAGCACGAACTGGTGGCGTGCTTGGAGTTACCTCCGTGCTAGGAACTGGTGGTGCCTTTATCGGTAATAAAAGTAAAGTCTAAAAATATAATGGAGAACAATCGATGCAACTTATAGACACTGGGCTTGGATCGTTCTAACCTTTCTGAGGAGAAAAACGGTAATCGCGGCTCTAATTGTCTAATTTTAATATCTATCGCATACCTTTCAATTTATATTTGAAAGATTATCACGAATCTCACACTACAACTATTTGACATGTGACAGCGATTGTGGCATATCGTGTTAAGATATTGAATGGACGATCAAATATTATTATAATAAACTCCCCCATTCTTCCTAAGTCATATTTTTTGCAGCAGCTGCAATATTTAACAATATTAAACACTGGATTCACATGGTGAGTTATAAACAATTCCCTAAATATGCCTATCCACAGAAGAGACATGGGCTTCTTTAGATATTATATAAATCAGATTTTAAATATTTTTCTTGGTTAAATCCAAATTACTTGCAAATATTTGCAAGTGATTTCATTAAGTAATAAGGAACTAAATATAGAACGCTTGACACTTTTTACCTTAGGCTTAACAGGTGGCGGTGGAGGTATGGCCCCTTCGGCTGGTTTGATTTCAGGCGGGACAGGTCTAGCCACTGTTATATCTTCGGGAGGCTTAATTTCCTCCGTAGACGTATCTAGTGTCTATTAACACAAAACATATTAATAATAGCACCACAGGGCACACATTTTTATAAAAAAAAATACTTCCACACTTTTATCTACTCACATCTTCGGGTAAATTTATCACTTTAAATACAATTTAATCAATAGTCGATGTATATTGGAAAATTTACTACATTTGGATTTGTCATTAAAGCATTTTGACTAAGTTTTATGAAATAATCATTGTGATGATTTTTGGTCATACCTGTCCATCAGGAGATTGGCTGGGTGGTCCTGGTGGCTTCCTCTTGATAACCTTTGGAGGCGAGGATTCACCTGGCACACGCTTCGCTTTTAATGGGCTCGGTTCTACAATTCAATAGTTAATTTAACGTTTATTTGTTAAGTAGGTATAGTTAATTGGTAAAGAAAGTTCAAATTCAAAACCACTATACACCCAGATATAATATGAAACGAGTATTAATATATCAGCAACTTTAACTTCCAAGTTAACAAAGCAAAATATAAATTCTTACATTCAATAAATAGTGATTTCGAAAAAAATATTATCTATTTTAACTTTTGACATCGATAAGTAATTTGATTTACCTGGCGGTGTACCTTCATCTGGGATAGGACTGGCAGTCTTTGGTATAGGACTAGCTGCTGAACCGGGTGCAGGAGTCTGTGCAGGTCCAGGTGTGGGACTCTGGATGCGACTTTGCACAGGGCTTGGTCCACGTGGGCTCGGTACAGGAGTTGCAGCTTTTGAAACCTGAGCCTGTCGCAAGATATACGTATCTATGTACCTATCGTACCTGCACTCAGTAGTCACAGATCTATTAATCCATAACCGTAACAAAATAATTTAAGCAAACATAATAATTATATAACATGCTAGCTTACCACGATTAGATATTTAATATTCATTTATTCAAGGAAACCAGTATATTGCACAAAATTAAGCAAAAAAGAACACTACAGTAATAGCACTACTGTTTAATATCAATTAAAAAGAAAATTCTACTTAAGTTGATAGTTCAAAATGATAAATTGCAACGTGGAAATCAATTATAAAGTAGTCTCACTATTTTTAATAAAAATATTTATTAAGACTATCGGTGCAGAGCCACAGAACGTGAAGACATTTTATCTTGTTAATGCTTGTCTCGGTCATCAAATTGCTTTCATTTATATTTTGATAGACCATATCGTTTGTCACATTGTTGCCGATCAAATCGGTCCATTCTCCGTAAAAAGTTGACTGTCTAGTCCAGTCCACTCGGACAGTTTCTTTGATAAGAATCTTCAAAGACTACGCGGAATGTTAATATTACACTTACTTTAGCAGGTACAGGACTGGAAGCTGGGAGTTTCGGGGAAGCGGCCCGACTTTGGGCAGTCGCTGCTGTCAGCAGGGAACCCATTATACCAGTGCCACCACCGTCTCCACCTAACATATGCATACAGATAATAAGTCAATAAAGCATATACTTACGTAATGATGGCCTTGATGACGCAATGCTCTGCGAATATGGAGGTGAAGATGGATAAAAAAAAAGAATACCTGTGTGTATTTCCTTCTATCTAGATGTGGCCCAGCAACGGGCGATAATTAAATAATATCTATTAATAATATTATAAAGAAGTACAGTTCAAACTTTGTTTGTTTTTACGTAAGGAGTAATAATCATCGGAAATATAGGTCCCATCATGAGAAATGTTACAGCTACGAAAGACTACATCATTCACAGATACTATATAGGCTCTAATTTGCGCGGGCAAGGTCGCGTTAAGACAAAGTTGATCATTTGTTTGTTTGCAAAGGATAGGCACCAAAATTGCTGGACCGATTTTAAAATTCTTTTACCTACAGGAGGCTACATCATATGCGGTGAACATAGGCTATATTTTATCCCGAAAAACAGCAAATAAAGGGATGAAAATATGAATGGATCTTTATAGGGAATTAAAACGTTGTCATTGTAATCATTGTTTACTATTCAATTTGTTGTCATGATATGTATCGATACCCAAATAAACAGTTCCTTAGTTATGAGGTGGGCGAAGCCGCTGGCGGATAGGTAGTAAATTATAAGACCTTAGAATATCTACCTTATTTTACGTTGCTCAATAAGTTCTTATTTTTCTCGTCATTGGGCGTTTAATGACGAGCCTAATTACGCTATTTTTAATACTCAATAAATCTTTTTTTTTTAATTATTTGTTTTAGTAAGTTACTTGGAAAATTGATCCAGAAAGCAAAGCGTAGTGTAGTAATTTATACAGTTATAGATAAGACCAAATCTACTGTATTCGATATTAAGTATTAGTCTATTTCAAATTAAAACGTTTAGCACAAAATGGTTTATTTATTATTCACCCGTTTCGAATGAAACGGGTAATTAACAGTAACTGAAATCTACCCTAGAACCTATTACTTATCAACAGCTAAAATTGTACTGTATATTTTTTCTACTTGTACTACGCGATAGATATGTTGTTCGTTTCCCTTTTTTTGTAAAATTATTTTCAATATTCTCTTACAATATATTTGAATCCCTTTTAATAATACCACAGCTAAAATTGTACAATAAAAATTGAATAGCAATATCTGGAACATACATAAAATGGTTATACACGACGGAACCCTTTGTTACCCTTACCCTTTATTTATTAGCCAGGAGCTAGAATACAAATATTTTTTTTTGTATAAAATCGACATACACGTGCACCTTACATTATTAACGAAGTTAATAATGAAATTATATTATAATACTAGCTTTCGTCAGCGACTTCGGCCGCGTGATTCATTGGGAAATGTTTAGTGGGATAAAAAGTATCCTATTATCTAAGTCCGCTAATGACCCATCTGTATACCAAATTTCATCAAAATCCGTCCAGTAGTTTCGGCGTGATTGACAGACAAACAACCTAACAAAGAAACTTTCGCATTAATAATATTAATAGTATTCAGAATATTACGTCATCTATACTTATATTTAGAAGTGAAATGTCTTTGTTTGTTTGGGAAATACTGGTCCGATCATAACACAGGAGGAACTCGCTGGAAACAGCTAGTTGTTAATTGAAAATAAGAATTTGTTCCTTTTTTGACGGTTGAAAAGTAAGAATAAAAATCAATTAACCAGTGTTTTCTTAATTTATATTAAGAGAAAAAAGTTTACCAGGCGATTTGAATGGTGATTTGGGTATAGGTGATGCAGGCTCTCCAACTTCAGTGGATATATCTTTAATAAGTTCAAGTAAAGTATGACCCGGAGTTAAGGGCATGTCAATAGGGGATGCGCCTCGTGAACCTATTTGAAAATAAAGAGGTAATTAATTAGCTATTTCGCAGACGCTTATAATACTATAAATGAGTATTCATAATTAAACAAAGCATAATTCTAAAAGTGGGTATAATTAGAAAACTTAGGTATTATATTAAAATTACACCTAAAGGCGTGTATCATGTGAAGAATTATCTCAATTATATATCATAAATATAACAAATACATTATTTCGCCAAATTAATAAATCAAGTAACAAATTAGGAATAAAAATGTTACCCGGTAATGGCGACTTCAAGACCAGTTTTCTTGCTTCGTCCATAGCACGCTGCAGATTTTGTTGATTTTTAAACGATTCACGAGTTCGGCATCGTCCAATCTGACTCCTAACAATGACACATAATTTTTTTTTTGTCAATTATTCAAGGGAAAATGGTAAAGTCACTAATAAGAGAGAAAACTAGAACTGGAAATTGTCTCGCATTTTATTTGCTGGTGCTTTTTAAAATATTTGCTTAAGTAATTACTTTTACCCGACTATAGATACGCTTGTTAAAGTCCCTACGGATGTCACTCGTATGCTTTTTAAAGATTTCTCAATGGAATGTTATATGAAACCGAACCATTTGAATGTTGTAAAATCACTGATTAATTATTGTATTAATTTATGAAATGAAGATGAAAAGTGCAAACAACTAGGTCTTACTTATTTTACGCTTGTGCCGGTTTGCGACCACCTGTATTTGTCTTTATAATTATTCGTGGCATAAGTTATTGAAACTAAGTGAAATTTCTGGAAAAATATATGAAATATAGTTTTGATAATAAATTTACACATTGTCTCTTGGACTAGGAGCAAAAAGCAGAAATAAGATACATCAATAATTTATTACTTCTAAATGATGAAGCAGTTTAATTAGAAGAGTTTCATGTGAAGAATATTAACCTACATCTCAATATTAAATTGAAGGATGGATTCCATTAATCCCATATGAAACACTTAATAAATACGATTATCACGATATAAATTTAAGAAATGTATCTTTTCTGAGGTTTTATTATTTTACTAGCATGAAAATAAGTTGAACTTAAAAAAAAACACGTACATCATGCTATCAATATAGACTAATATAATCTTAATGAAAAACGCTTAAAAATCCAAACCAACCCCAGGCACTCTGAGATTGGACTCTACCGATTTTTTCGCATGTATTTTCTCTTATAGTTCTAAGTTACCGCCTATTCTAATTGGTATTTATCCCCTTGGCCCAGAATCTGAGTATGATCATGATATCTTATTATGTTTGCTATGATAGCTATGCTCGTCATATATCTTACATGGCACTTTGAAAAATATTTTAGTTTTATGTTGCTATATTTACTTTTGCTTGTATCCTTTAGACCCTTATACCATTAAAAGAGACATATATAAACCCTTCTACTACTTAATATTAATGCATGTCTTAATTATACGATAAGACAATATAACTAGCGAAATATCAAAATAACCAAATTCCTGATTTGGTCCTTATAGGAATATGTCCTGTCCCCGATATATAAACAGCACTTACGAAATGCCAGTCTGCGCAAGTGTTTGATCCCATTTAGCATTGGTGGTGCTCGCGACGGCCATCCTAGCGATCCTCCTGAACTTGGACAGGCCGTCTTCGTCAGCCGGCTTCTCATCATCCACGCCTGCCACGGGCGCCACCTGGAAGTTCTTCATCAGACGACGTTCCCACACCTTCATGCGTTTACCAAGGACAGCTTGAAAAAATATATATACAAATTGTCAAAATAAGAAGTCAGCATGAATATAAATCGGAATTTAAGGAGATACAGACCAATAATAAGAATAAAGTGTGGAAAGGAAGTGAATAGTGAGAAGACGGCTAATCGATAAGTAAAAAACAAAACTGAGTCGCGCTCAGCCCAAATGAAAGGATAAAGACAAGAACAAGCAAATGGACCACCATTTATTTGTTCTCGTTTCAATCCTATCACAATCTGTGATGTTTCTATTGTCACAATACATGTGGGAAAACATGCAACTACGAGGGTCAAACTGAAAGTTCTTAGAACTGGCCACTTATAAACAATATAATAAAAAAATAATTCTAAAATTTGAAAATATAACTCTTTGCCAATATTACTGAGTATATATTTCATTCATTTGTCATTTGTTTTACGATTTGGCGGCAAATTGAAAATTGTCTGTGTCACGTCATCATGAATTTAACACGAGAAAATTTTCGTGCAATGATTTTTTATGACTTTCGATGTCATTTAAGTCAACAAGAAAGTTATGATAGACTACGATTGGCCTTTCACGATGAAGCCCCATCTCGTGCGACTGTTTACAACTGATTTAATGAGTTTAAACGTGGTCGCACTAATCTCACTGATGATTTACGTGAGGGACGGCCTTCTACGGCGACGACTGAAGATAACATCTGTGTTGTGCGGCGTATGATAGAGACTGACAAAAGAGTGACCTATCAACAGATTCGGACAAGCTTAGGCATCGGTATGAGTCAAGTGCACAAAATCCTCCACGAACATTTAGCGGTCAGGAAGCTTTGCGCCCGGTGGATACCTCATAATTTGACTGAGGCTCAAAAACTCCATCGTGTGGATTGGTGTCGTAAAATGATTGAAAGATTTAACGGAGGTGACTCAAATGCTGTGTTCGACATACTAACAGGTGACGAAAGCTGGATTTACTGTTATGATCCTAAAACCAAAAGACAATCTGCTCAGTGGGTGTTTCCTTTCGAGGAGTTGCCAACTAAAGTGAAGAGAGATCGAAGTGCGGGAAAAAAAATGGTGGCCTCGTTCTTTGGAAGGATAGGTCATTTTGCAACAATTGTGTTAGAGGATCAAAAACAGTTTCTGCAGAATGGTACACTACCAATTGTTTGCCACTTGTCTTGGAAAAAGTTCGAGAGAAACGACCTCGCAGTAGGATCCTCCTTCACCACGACAACGCCTCGTCGCACACCGCCAAGCGAACGATCGACTATTTGGCGACATCAAACGTTGAATTACTGGGTCACCCGCCGTATAGCCCCGACCTCGCGCCTTGTGATTTTTATTTATTTCCAAAAATTAAAGAAAAACTTAAAGGAAAGCGGTTTATGAATGCTGAAGAAGCGGTGGCTGCGTATCGCGATGCCATTGAAGAGACCCCTAAGGACGAGTGGGCAAAGTGCTTTTCCCAGTGGTTCCATCGCATGCAGCGGTGTATTGACGTGAATGGACAATATTTTGAAAAGATATAATAAAACTAATAACTGGCTAATGTAATCAGTTTTTGATTTTCTAAGAACTTTCAGTTTGACCCTCGTATTCACTGCAAAATCTTGGTCAGGGCGTAAAATAACCATCTCTTTTGTAGGAATGTAATATATCTACCATGAGTGTTATGCAAAAGCTTATACTTGACCGATATTCGGGTAGGTGTATTCACATTTTTTTTTAAGGATGGTTCCGTATTGTATCTTTGTTAACTTACTCTTCTCCTTCCTGTCTGTGAACGACACGTCCATGCCGTTCTTCTCGAACACTTCTAGTAGTTCGTATCTTAACGCTGACACGTCTCCTTTCAGCTCGTTTATATCGTCCTCTGTTACCGGTTCATCGTCCATCTTCCTGTGCATAGCGGACACGTAACGCCATACCAGAGCACGCATCACAGCTAAGTAACGAACATCGTGTTCCTTCTCCTTCTGTTCCTAAAGTGAGTAAAGAAAAACGCGTTAATGGATATAGGTACTATAAAAATCAAATTGGAATGTTGCTTACAAGTAAATATAAACTGTGTGGTATATATTTAACAAAATAAGTTCTATAACATTAATTTAGAAAATATTCGACCGACTAGCAGCATTTCCCCAAACTCAGCACCGTATCTACAAAACTATTAATCGCAGACATGCTGTTACTTCTGTATTATTTCTCATCTATAAATAGAGTTTTTATTTATACGAGTACAATAATAAAGTACTCTCTCGGAGATCGCGAGTTCTAATTCCGATTGTATTAGGATTAAAAATGGTCCTCTCTCGGGTTTGGATGCTCGGATATCAAACCAGGTGTCGTAATTTTGCTGAAATCAAAAATCAACTATTCAAGTGTTGTTATTACGCTACAGTGGTTTCTAACTAATGCAATTTTGCGATTTTATATTACATATATAAATTTGTGTCCTGGATAATATTTCAACCGCTTTGTAATTACAACGCAAAATATGCCATGGGGGGTAAAATAATGGAATAAATTAAAACCTCGCTCATAATATAATAAAAGAAATAGGTATGCCTACGCTGTTATTATAAAGGCTATAATTACATTTATAAAGGTAAATGCAAATTATTAATTACTCGTTTGCGTTTTCAATTAAGTATATTTGCGATATTCAAAGACATCATCTGCTCCCTCAATAGGACGAAATATTTAATTATACTTAAAAGGATTTTTTATTGTTTTTATCAAATAGGCACTATAAGTACAAATTAAAAACAAATCAGATAATAATATTTTCTAAATTGCTATCTAGGTATATATGGCTCAAAAAATTTAAAAAAGTAGGATTTATAAATCATTTTATAAACAGAATATTAATATTACAGAAGACTATGCTAGGGCTAAGATCCCTTTGTCTTAAATGAAATTTCCACTATCAAGTGAGCGCTTATCATAGTTTATGGCGGGAATAGATAAATATATAACTAATTGCATGTTTAATGTTGACAGTGAGTTTTGGTTCTTAAATGTGAGTTTTGCAAGACAATATGTAATTGAAAGTGATCAATATACAATTCAATAAAAATATTGAATTGCATGGTCGTAAAAAAGGAAACAGTTTAATGAACTCAGCGCGTAAAGTCGAACAGGGTCAAGTTTATTATGTGGATTCCTTACATCGCTACATTTGTAGGCTCAAATCTTCAAGGAAGCATTAAAAAGTTTAAAACACCTAGGTACGTTTTGTTACATGAAAGGCTAGGGCTAAGATCCCTTTGCCTCAAATAACTCTACCACGAGCACGAATCAGATACAAGAAAGATTGTCTTGGTGTTACAATCATACTATATTATTTTATGACGTGCAAATTGAACCATTCAATAAATTACCGCTAATTAATATTTTTTTGATTGGTAAACCAATCCAATAACTTGCTTGTGTAAATAACTTGTTCAGTGATGTGGTTATAATTCTCTTATAATTTGACTGTGCTAACTGCGATACAATTTTATAAGTTTATAATTCAACAATATGTAAATTACTCATAGCCCAAAATAACAAAAACTGAAAGATGGAATGAGGTGGAATAGGGAGAACGACCCACGACCTGCCACGCGGGCTCAGTGCGGATTGGTGGGTGGTCACGACTACAGATGCAACCGGGACGTATTAAGTTCCTTCCAAAGCACGGAGTAGCTCAAGATAAAATTTCAGTCACCCATCCTATGACCGACCATTGCGTAAATCGCTTAACTTCAGCCCTAACACGCTAAACACTCGCTTAAAAGCTCATAAATTACTTAAGCGTTTGTTTTATAGAAATCAGATGTAATGAAGGCACCATAACACCCAAACCAGAGACGATATGGATAAGTTAGTTCATTTTTTTATCGATCCAACCGGTAATAGAAAGCGGGTCCTCAGAAATGTGGTCGCCTAATATTTAAATTTCATCATCATCAGCCCTTTTAGGTCCCTACTGCAGGCGCTCAGGCGTTACTTAAGGATGGCTGAGGACGATAGGTCATAACCTGCATCGCTGGCCCAATTTGGATTGGAGGGCATTAAATTCAAATGGAACCAACGCGCCTTTCGAAGCACGAAGTAGCTCAAGATAATATTTTTTTGATCACCCATCCCGTGACTGACCCTAGCGACAGTTGCTTAACCACTACGATCGTGGGCCGCGGCGCCACTATGCCAACGAGCTACTCCTATTAAATTCACTTGAAATAATAATAATTCTATTTTTATTTATTTAATGTGCGATTATCCAAGTTCCTCATTTACAATACAAACTAAGTTAGATTTCCAACTAAACAATGTCAATACAAAATATAATTATTCACGAGAGACTAAAAAACTTTAGTTCTAACATACACAATCAGATCAAATATAATATAAAAATAAATCTCGGAATTTGACGACTTACCTTATGTTTCATCTTTCTAAGCTTATCTTTTTTTCTTAAACCCATCATTTTAAGGAGCAATTTCGGCGTCGGCATAATGTTGAATGGAGGCGGTAAAGTAGCACTTTCTTCAAAATAACTCATCCACAGTCTTGTACGCGCAAACTTCCATTCAACATCCGAATGTTCCTATAAAATAAGAAATTATTCTTAACTTTACTCTGTAACAGCGTTACCCATCAGCAATGTCCAATCGTTATAAAGTTATACATACACAAGGTTTAGTGTTGAAGTAAATTTACACTGAGACTCAGTATTAGTCAAAAGTCATAATATTAAACAGAGACCTAGCAAAGGATTACCTAGTACGAGTACTAGGGGAGTAATATTTACTCTTAGAAGGTAGTAGGTTGCCTTATTCTCTGTATAATATGAACTATTACTCAATTTTGATTAATACTAAAATTGCAATTTAAGCGTAAATTAACTCCGGCGTTAAACCTTGTTAATTTTTAGGACTGTTGTTGATTTATCTTATTAGTAGAGGGAAATGACCTTCGTGGATTAGCAACCCATAAAAGGAGCCCTAAGGATCAACAGCGATGAATGGAAACGTTGTAATAGAAATATACCTGTTTTAGCAGTTAGAACAAACGCTTTAAAGACGATATTGATTGTATTGTTCACTACAAACGCACAGAAGGTCATAATTAAAACCTTTAACGGTTAAGAATAAAGTTCGAAATTGATTTCATTTTGACCTATTATAAACTTAAGTGCTAGTACATCCACTGTTATACATACGTCAATCATAGCGTAGGAGTTGGACATCATAGCGATGAGTAGATTCAACAGCACGATGACATTGATGACCGAATAAGATCCGAACATGAGGAGGCCCCAGAACCGTGTATAACTCTTGATGCCAGCCAGCTCAAAGTTCTCTAGACCAACCATACCGAACGACGCCCAAAACAGGGATTGAGATGCTTCGAACACGCTGTTGAAAGTCAAAACTTTATAATATTACACCAAATTAACTTTTTATCTAATTGACGGAACTGCTTTTTTCTTTATATAATTTTCAATGGCAGAAAACAATGCAAACATCTTATAAAATAGTAGTTAAAAAACAATATTTAGTATTTTTGCATAACGAATGATTCAATAGGGTGGTTTTAGAAGTAAAAATAAGTCACAAAAACTAAAATTTACATAGCTATAAACATAGAGATTCTGATTTTGAGTCTTAAAATCGCACGATTATATTATTATCTTAAAATTAAAAGTAGTGATTTTTCGTCTGTTTGTCACGTGACTTAAAACAGGTCCCGCCATTATCTGACGTCACTGTGGTGACAACTGTTAGTAGATTAGATTATTCATAAAGATATTCCTATTAATTATGGCTAGATGGCGCTGGTATTAGCTTATTTATATATTTTTATTTCGTAATCGATTGTTAGATGGTATTGTTCTTATTTCATTAACATCTTTTAATCTTCTACTCTATGCATCTTTTCTGTGAACATATCACAGTGACGTCATGAATATGATGAACAGCGTTTTAATGGGTATATAAAAGTTTAAACTGGTTTAATTTTAAGCCAATAAAACGTGTTCATTTTACCGAAATATTTAGTTTATGGATTTTTTAAATTAAAACCATATTTGTCAATTTTTTTTATGGGTATACCAATTGTTAATTAACTATCATGTAAGTCCATAAAATAAAATTACCCAATTAACAATTTCAATTACCCAACATTACACCTTAAATCACTCATTGGGCTTACTTAAATTATACCTATCTTACTGGATAACTCAAATGGCCAATCAAATTTACATTGGCTTGAATCAAATGCACTCAACGTTCAATACAATAAAAGCTACCGTAAGCGATTGAATTTATTAACGCGATATACCTACTCATCGTTATTTAGTGTGTTAATTGACCCTAGTAAAATAGCTTGATAGAATTTGAAATCCATTCTGTTCCAGTGCAGCGTTCGGACAAGTACCTAACAAATACTTTTAAATCAAGATTGTGAATAATATAAGTCTATGTACTTTACGAAACTAAAACCAACATTTTATACATAAGCTTTATTTAAACTCAAAAGTTGATAAATTTGAACAAAAACAGGCAATGTATAGTTTCTAAAAACATCTTTAGTATCGTTAAATAAAAGTAGATTAAAACATTCAACGTTATTGGAATTGTATATATTGTATCTACAAAAAATGCTCAGTCTCGACCGACTTTGTGCAAAAACTAATTTAAAAAAAGCATATCTATCAAATATTTAACTTTCAAAAATTTTAAATCAAGCTTTAAGATTATCATCATCCGTCCTATTACGTCTTCACTGCAGGGGCTCAGGCCTTCCTTGTGGATGGTAAGGGAGATGGGCCATGACCGTCCACGCTGACCCAATCCGGATTGGAGGGTATAAACAGTTGCAAATGCAGTCCGGACCGACGGCTTAACGTGCCTTTCGAAACACGGTGTGGCTTGAGATGACATTTTTTGATCACCCTTCCTACCGGAAGGTCACGGGCAGTCAGTCACGACCGACCCTTGAGAAAATTGAAACGATCGCGGGTCACAGCACTTATGCACTACGCCACCGAGCTACTCTTAAAGAAGCTCTACGATGTTTATATAGGACAAATCATGATTTTACTTCAATATGCATGATAGTCCATGGTCTCTCTTAAAGTCATACAATCCACTTCGTCAATTTTCAATGTGTTCATTTTCACATTAATATCCTCTTCCAATTGAATCTGCGTTTGCAATAAATAACGAAGAGAAGATGTAGCCTCTTGCAGCATTTGCTGTAGTTGTTCAGTACTGTGTCTAAGCATCTCGCACTCATAATACAGTGATTGACCAGGAGGATCCTTCACTAATTCAGCACCAATTCTATTTGCTCTTCTCCCCAATCGTGTATGGGCTAATGCAATATGCCCTTCTTTATCAGACAGAGCTTTCTGCAGTAGCAAAATGTTGTCTTGCATGTCAGAGATCTTTTGTGATGTTTCACGATGCATATCCTCTAATTTCGCTTTAGCTAATTTAGTTTCTTTGATTCTCTCACTGAATTCGTGATTGCACTTTTTGTATGCCACCCACAAATCATCTATCACTTGCTTTAACAGCGTATCCACGAACATCTTGATCGGTCTTGAGCTGGTCACTTCCCTCGCCGCACTTTGTATATTCTTTGCTGAATAAGAGTTATATTCTTCAGCAGATATATTTGCAGGATCAAGGTTTGCATAGCCTTCGTAAACAGACAAACAGAGATCCGTAGGCTTAAGGGATAAGTTATCCTTATCCACATCTATAGCTGCTTGTTTATATTGCAAGTCTCTATCGAGTAGGTATCGAGTAGAGCGTAAACGTCTCATTTGCTCATTCAATTGCTCTAAAACGCGCTTTAAAAGACTTTGGCCCCCTAGGATAGTTGTGATTTCTTGTTGTAACGCGTGTTCTACCTCATCTACAACTAAATCTATTCCTAATCGTCCGTCCCTCAACATAAGACACTTTCGGCAGATGTTTAGAGCATTGGCCTGTAATGAACTAAGACAGTCTTGGAGTCGTGTCTTGTAAACACCTAAGGCTTCCAGTTCGATGCAGATTTCGCGGCGTTGAATCTGCAGTTCATTTTTGTTGAACTCGACGTCCCCTATTCTTTCTTCGAGGCGTCTGTCGGTTGTCGACTTCATAATATGAGCTCTCTCGGCGGTTTCTATACGTACCCTCTCGCTTTCTCCTAAGATTCGATCGGCAAGTTGCTGTTGATCCTCGGTGTTCCTGCATCTCTGATCGTTGCTGAGTTTCCATTCTGAGAGAGTAAACTTGGCAGCTCTTGGCGGCATGCATACTAATGCTTGCTCGGCCAATCTAGTGGTTGCAATCGGGGCGCCTATAATATGCCGAACTCCAAATTGAGCCTCCCCCATATTACTAATTAATAATCATTAATAAAAACTGAAAATAGTTATAGTTTTATTGCAATAATATAAGTTTTATTGATATTGACGCGTTGTCATGTGTCAATTGATGATACAAGTACTCGTTGCTATAGAAACTACATATGTTCCATAGAAACCATAGATATAAAAGAAACCTTCATAGAAACTTATTATACTAAAATAGAAATATAAAAATCTATAAACCAAATTTTAACCAAGCAAATTCTACAGACTTGACCTAGGGAAATTCAACCTTTAAAACCCCATTTTTTAAATACTGATTCGCGAAAAGTATTAGTTTTTGATTATTGATATTATTTTATATTAGTTCATAATAATAATAAGGTTTACAGGTATATTAGTCATTGACTATCATCTAATCCTTATACCATTAATGCAGCACTTTTGCAAAAATAAAATACTACGTTAGAGATTCAATCGATATGCGCGTCATATCTACTGGGGTGTGATCACCTAAATCTCCTAGCCATGACTTCAGTTAAAGAATACCACCTCTTAGCGATATTACGGCGATAATTCGCTTCATTTTCACATCACATCACATCACCAGCCCTTTTACGTCCCCACTGCAGGGGCTCAGGCCTTTCTTATAGATGGTTAAGGAGGGTGGGCCATGACCCTCCACGCTGGCCCAATGCGGATTGGAGGGTATTAACGACTGCAAATGCAGCCGGGACCAACGGCTTAACGTGCCTTCCGAAGCACGGAGTAGCTCGAGATAATAATTTTTGGTCACCCATCCCGTGACCGACCCTTGCGAAAGTTGCTTGACGATTACGATCGCGGGCCGCGGCGCTTATCCACTACGCCACCGAGCTTCATTTTACTACTTTAAAATCAATACATCGTAATTTTTCCTTATGTATGCTTAGATCTATAAAACTACACAACGGATTTTGATGCGGCTTTTTAAATAGATAGGGTGATTCAAAAGAAAGATGTTTTGATGTACAATATACATAGGTATAGGACCGCGCAGGCGAAGCTGCTGGCGGAAAGCTGAATGATGACCAAATAAAAAATATCTCAACTTCTCGATGCTGACTATGATTTTGACAGCAGTGTTGCCAAATTAGTTGTTTATCCACCAAAAGACATGCCAAAATACTAAAAAGAAACGAAATATCGCCATACCATCACTAAGATGTCGTATTCTATAGCTAGAGAATTAAGCGGTTGCACCCCTGGTTGTACTTAATCAATTTGAGTTAAGTATCTTGATTAGAATTGCCATTCTGTACCAGCCTTTTCAGTATTGTGAATAAAATGAGTTTCTAAATTTTATTAGGATTTTACTAAACAAAAACCAACATTAAAACATAAGTTTTATTTAAACGCAAAAATGGATATACCTTAAAAAAAAATAGCACATATAAGTATAGTTGCTAAAAAGATATAAAATATAAGTAGATCAAAACATCAAACATTATTGGAAATTTACTTATTTATCTACGTTCAAAAAGGATAGAGCACTCGACCGACAATAAGCAAGATCTAATTTAAAACAAGCGTACCTACTAATATCCTGATGGATAATAAAATTAGGTCATATACAAGCCTAGCTATACAAGTATACAAGTCGTAGCTCTAACCTACGCTTTATTGGCGTTTCACATGTATCTGTTGATATTGTTTTAAAATTAAACGGTTTTTATTATTTACATATTTAACCAGTGCTTTTGGTTGTTTTTGTTTGCTGTACTATTAAAGTTAAGCGAAATTTACAAAATGTCGGATGATACAACAATGGTATTTCGAAAAGAAAAACAAACCAAATTTTTAGATAAAAAAGGTTAGTTTTAAAAGAATATAAACAGATTTATGAGAAATATCGATAAAGCGTAGGTTATAGCAACGACTACTGCTACGTTCATGAGTTTGGCGGTCGCGCCCCAGATCGCTTGAATGTGTTTCAAAATATATATATTTTTTATTGATGGTGAATTAAAAAAAAAATGTCATAAATAACCCTACAATATTGACATACGACAAATCGTTATTATACTTCAATATGCATGATAGTCCATGGTCTCTCTTAAAGTCATACAATCCACTTCGTCAATTTTCAAAGTGTTCATTTTCACATTAATATCCTCTTCCAATTGAATTTGCGTTTGCAATAGATAACGAAGAGAAGATGTAGCCTCTTGCAGCATTTGCTGTAGTTGTTCAGTACTGTGTCTTAGCATCTCGCACTCATAATACAGTGATTGACCGGGAGGATCCTTTACTAATTCAGCGCCAGTTCTATTGGCTCGTCTCCCCAATCGCGTATGGGCTAATGCAATATGCCCTTCTTTATCAGACAGAGCTTTCTGCAATAATAAAATGTTGTTTTGCATATCAAAGATCTTTTGTGATGTTTCACGATGCATATCCTCTAATTTTGCTTTGGTCAGTTTAGTTTCTTTGATTCTCTCGCTGAATTCGTGATTGCACTTTTTGTAGGCCACCCACAAATCATCTATCACTTGCTTTAAAAGCGTATCCACAAACATCTTGATCGGTCTTGAGCTGGTTACCTCCCTCGCCGCCATTTGTATATTCTTTGCTGAATAAGAGTTATATTCTTCAGCAGATATATTTGCAGGATCAAGGTTTGCATAGCCTTCGTAAACTGACAAACAGAGATCCGTAGGCTTAAGGGATAAATTACCCTTATCCACATCTATAGCAGCTTGTTTATATTGCAAGTCTCTATCGAGTAAGTATCGAGTAGAGCGTAAACGTCTCATTTGCTCATTCAACTGCTCTAAAACGCGCTTTAAAAGATTTTGGCCGCCTAGGATAGTTGTGATTTCTTGTTGTAACGCGTGTTCTACCTCATCTACAACTAAATCTATTCCTAACCGTCCGTCCCTCAACAAAAGACACTTTCGGCAGATGTTTAGAGCATTACCCTGTAATGAATTAAGACAGTCCTGGAGTCGTGTCTTGTAAACACCTAGAGCCTCCAGTTCGATGCAGATTTCGCGGCGTTGAATCTGCAATTCGTTTTTGTTGAACTCGACGTCCCCTATTCTTTCTTCGAGGCGCCTGTCGGTTGTTGACTTCGAAATATGAGCTCTCTCGGCGGTTTCTGTACGTACCCTCTCGCTTTCTCCTAAGACTCGATCGGCAAGTTGCTGTTGATCCTCGGTGTTCCTGCATCTCTGATCGTTGCTGAGTTTCCATTCCGAAAGAGTGAACTTGGCAGCTCTTGGTGGCATGCATACTAATGCTTGCTCGGCCAATCGAGTGGTTGCAATCGGGGCACCGATAATATGCCGAACCCCAAATTGAGCCTCCCCCATTTTATTAATAATTGATCATTAATAAGAATTAAGAATAGAAAAATGTAAATTTTTTATTTATTTCAAAGAGAAAAGTATATATCACAAACTACTTATGGAATACATGATTGATACTGACATGTTGTTATGGGTCAATTGATGATACAAATACTCGTTGCTATAGAAACTATTTCACGTCACGTCAATAGATATAAAAGGAACCAAAGAAAATTCCACAGATTTGACCTAGGTAAATTTTATCTTATAATCCTCTTTTTAAATAGTGATTCTGGAAAAGTATCACATACAATAGTTTTTGATTGTAGATTTTATTTTATTTTCGAGTTTATCGCTATACGTATAAAATAGATAAGAAAGTGCCACCGATCTGTTACAAAGAAAATTATAAATTCTAGATTCTATTAGAACTTAGAATTTCTAAATTCTATTAGAACCAAATATTATAAATTCTCATAGAAAACAACATAGTAAAATGTATGGAGTTTTAATATTTAATGTTAGACAAAATCATATGCCTGCCTTGACATCATATCCTGACGTTACTTTTTGTAATTTTAATAGCGACGGTTCCTTCATATTTAATAGCAAAATAGGCATAAAAGAAACCCATCTTATCAAACGACACTAATTCAAAATTCAAAACACTCTTTTCAGGAATTCGAGTCTGTTTTTATTTCATATCTACGTAAAAGTAATTAGATCGCTTCAATACCCTAAATTAGCGAGATCTACATCACACGCCACTCACTTTCCGAAACTCCTCCATTTCATACAGGAATCACCTGCGTTATCCCAGTCCGGGAGACCGCCGGGCAAAACGTAACATTTCCTCTTTTCAAGATCCGCGAAATACCACAGTAATTGATTCAGACCTGATACATAATAATAATAAAAAGGAAGACTGTAAATATAAAATTACATTTATACTTTTCGGTGCTATAAAATATGCAGCAAACAATAAACATTTACCCTGAAATAGTTATCATAACCTGCACAATAGAATTCACACTCTCTATTTACTGAAGTCTTATTGAAATTAAAACAATACATAAAATACTTCTTGAAGTATATCAATCACATTTGAGGTTTTGACTGAAAATATATGAAGCTATAAAATTTATAAATTGATATCTCAAAGTACCTCGACCAATTTCAGCTCTAATTAATTAACTATTAGTAATATTCCGAATTATAAAGAAGATAATATATTTGCATTCACAATACTATGTCTCTTTAAAGTACTTATCATAATATCACAGTGTCATATTTTTTTTCACACTCTACACTCTACAAATCTCTTATTAAAAGGCATTAACTATTATGAGGCAGCGTAAAGCCAAAAGACTCTCTCTGTCTATCTCATTACGCCTTCAATGAGATATACGATAATGCTATCAGACATGAGATGCTTTTGGGGTTTTGGGGTGCTTAAAGATAACTATTGGCCGCCATATTTAGAATGAAATCATTCCTTTTCGCATTTTTAAAGCAAATCCTTTCTTTTCGCATTTTTAAAGCAAATCCTTTCATTTGACTTATATCGTGATAGTGCACAAAAAAGTGCTAAACCATTTTCTTTAGCCGTCGATTAGATTTAAAATGATGTAGCTATTTTAGCTAACCATGGATTACTATTCAAACTAAACTACAATCGGTTGAGGATAAACTCTATAA